GACTGCAGGCTGATGAATAAAGAAAAAAAACATCTTGCCTTCAGCTTAGTTATGACAGTCATATTGAACTATATCTCCTTCCAACAGATCAGCCTTCTAAATGTTGGAGTACATTCAGGATTGGCTGAAGGGATGCTATGACCTTCTGCTGGAAAAAGCAAGTCTCTTACAAAAGAGACTAACATCTCTTAGAGGTTAGGAAAATGACATTTTTAAAGATGATGCATGGTCTGAATGCATCCCTGCCTAGCCAGCAGCCCTCAGCTAAGGCATAAGCAGTGCTTCATTACCCCATTCAGTCCTGAACAAGATGGATTTACCACCTGTAGTGGTAAATCTGTACCTTTTCCTGTCCCCATTAAGCCTCAACACAGGGATTCTTTGGACTCTCTCTCTTATGCATTCCTGCAGCTGCCCAACGGCAGCGCTGCCCTGGCTTCATTTATTTTCATTCCTTTTCTCTTTCTCTGGCTATCTTTTGTAGATCAGGAGTTGATGAAGTCCCTGACAGATCTCAGCACTTACTGTAAATTCACTCTGTTTTAATACCTAATATTTTCCCGAGGCGCTTGCTTTCAAAGCAATTAGACATCTGTCAGCACCTTTGGTAGATTTCAAGCTTCATATCAGTATCCTAAGGTGGAAATAGCATTCCAGTTGAAAAATCATAGCTTGGTCTTAAGGTTGGAGTTTTTCGGTGAGTAAATCTTCTTTAAGCTGATGAATGCAGCTGCTGCCTTGACAATTTGTGTGTTTATTTCCTTCTGGATGTCCCCACTGGCTTGCATGTTACTGCCAAATGAATTTTGGAGGCATTTTTATATTTCTTTTGCCTTCTCAAGCAGTGTTTGAACTGGGAGTTACAAGGGCTCTCATTAGGTTCACTTTTTGTAACTGTTCATTAACCCCCTCTTTTTTACAGTGCTGAACAATCCTTTGGTCTTTGCATGTGGGTGGATTTCCAATTTACAATGGCTATATTGTCAGTTTAGTGCATTATGGTTAAACTACATGAATTTTGCGTATGCATTTTTCTCATAGTGATATCACTGGCAATGCCTGGTGCAAGGAAAAACCACTTCTTTGTTTGACACCAGTGTCTCTATTCAACCACTTGTCTGAGTCCCAAGCTTCCCAGAGTAAGCAAGTTGCTTGTGGGTTTTCTCTCAATCCTTGCATAGCAGCTCAGGTGCCAGACAGAGGTCCACGCAGCTCCGAACCACGTTCCAAAACTGGTCCTCCACATTCACAGATCTCTTTACTCCATCATGGCATCAAAACATACGTGTTTCTTGAGAGTTACACCAATGCTTGTAAAGGCTTTTCCAATTTTCAGAGTACGTTTGTTAATAGCAGTGTAAGATCTCTGTATTTGCCCAAATGTCCAGTATTCATCAACGGCATTTTACATATGATCAGCGCAGCTTCACTGTGCAGCACTGGAGCCTCCCAGCGTTCCGCGCAGTGGAACTGTACCAGCTCTACAGAATCTGGATCAGGTGCTGGGCTGTAACGGTACTTTTGCCCCTGCATCCCAGGCCACGCTCTGCCATAAGAGATGCACTCTCTGGCAGCTGTTGGCTGCCTGGAAGTTCCTCGGCTTGCAAGAAGGCCACAGCACCTTTCCTTACTCAAACTCCTCATAACCTGTGTTCAAGCCTGAGGGTCCTGTTTCAGAGGGCACAGAGTGAATCTAGTCCTGAAAATTGTTCTGTGGATATGCTTACTTGTTCCATAAATATTTGGGAACAGAGAGACTGTAGCAATGCATTTAGCTGTCCAGAGTAGGAGGGAAGGTATTTATGGGAATTTGCTGTTCAGTTGGAGTTTGATTTTTACACCTCTTTTAATGATGTCCTCTCTTCATAGTGCAACATGAGTAACAATTCCCCCTTTGTATGTATTTTGTATCTTTTCCTATTTCCTATCGAAATTCCTAGGAAAGAGACTATCCAAGTACAGAGTTGAAAATTTCATCTTAAAATAAGCCAGATGTCCAACCTTCCTTTAGCTGCCAAGCCCAAAAGAGTTCAAGAAAGATGTTAAAATCTGTCTTCCTGGCTGTGAAAAACTAATTGCATAGCATAGGTGATGATCCCAGTCTCCCAGGAGAAGGAATAAAACTGCTTCGGGCAAAAACTCTGCTGTTATTTGTCTAAGGATTAGAGTTGGCAGTGTCTGTGGAAAAAGTTTCTTTGCTTGCCCTCCTTGCTGGTTAACAAATGCAGAGGCAGGAACACAGACAAAGTTAGGTGAGTGTTTGTATATTGGTATCTGAAAACCTTATTCACTTTATGAGAATTTTTTTTTTCCCCTCTGTTAAGAGAATTTATAAGCACAGGGCTTCTAAAAGCCAGAGGCAGAGGTTTCAGACTCACTATATTACAATCACATGAAGGAACCCCATGGCCTGAATGGGTTATTTTATGCCTATGTGATAACATCTATCTGTAAAATGGATGTACAATTCACTCCCCTTGCAAAGAGTTTTGTGAGGATTCAGCACTCTAAAGACTAAAAGTGCCATTGAAATCCTGAGGCTTAGAGGTTGCATGTGACTAGTGAAGTGGAAGGGCCTAATAGTTGCATTTATCAGGATAAAAATTGTTAACTTTAAACCCAAATGCAATGGCCATGCCTGACTGGCTTCCAGACTGGTAGAAGTCACTGAGGACACACAGTGCTGGGGAAGAGCAGAGGGACACCCAAGACTAACGGAATGCCTACATCTCACTGCAGAAACTCAGACTATGAAGGGGGTTTAAATAAGGGACTTTTACTTACTTTAACAATTGCTTTTTGGAATAGCTCACTGTAGGCCATACAAGGGAAGGGCTCATTCAGCATAGTTCTAAATACCATAACCATTGTTGAGGTATTAATAGACAGTGACAAAGTTTTGATGTAGAGACAACATCTGAAAATCTAAGTGCAAAAAATCTGTCATCAACTAGTGTGTTGACCCTAAATTGAAATAAGAAGGACAGAAAGCAAAAAAACTAATTATTTATTTAAGAAAAAAGAAGTTCCAAAATACATGTAAAATTTTAATATTGCACAACTGCTACCTTCAGAGTACATTAATCAGGTCTGGAGAGGGCTGCATAGCTGGAAACACAGAGGTAAACTGCACACCAGGATCGCTTAGTGGCGAAGTCCGGAAGGAATCTGAGCCAGAGATTGTTCTGAATGGAGAAGTTCAGTCCTAGAGAAAGGCACTGGGAGAAAGAATAGGAATAAAGAGCAGGTGGAATATAGGGGGAAAATTAGGAGAAAAGCAAATGCAAATTTGGTGAGTATACCAAATACAAGAAACCTGTTTGATAAATCATCATTAATGTGAGTGACTAAAGAAGAAAATTAGATAAAGTGTCTTTGTTATTTTTGACAACAGGGTTCACTGATTGTACAACTTCTCCTACCCAGAAATAGAGTTCACACTGTGCAAATGTATTTCTGCACTGGGTTGTCTGAAGCAGCTCTTTTACATGGTCCTGTTAATCCGAGGCCATTTTTTATCAGGCCTTTCAGTGATTCACACAGGAAGGAAAAGGTCCCTGTGCTCCAGCCCAGAAGAAATCTATACTTCTTGTATCAGATGATCTTTGAGAAGCAGCAGGTTTTTTTTGTGATACATCCAGAACAAAATGACCACAGCTTTGCTGTGCTCTCCTAGAGATGGGAGAGGTGAAGGCTATGTGCATCCATGAGTTCTTTCGCCCTTGAGTCCTAGTCTTATAAGCATCCGCACTGCATACACATCCTTCATACTTGAACTTCAGTCCAGTCTCAGCGGTGCTCATCTTTTGAGCCTCTTCAGTGTTTGGCATGCCATTTTTAAGAAGTACCACTCTGAGACAATAGTGTTTTTCAGGGAGAGAGCTCCGCTGCCCTGATTTTGTTCAGAAACAGCTGAGGACAGAAAACATGATCTTTTTTTACATCATCTTAATTATATCTCCTGAGTTTTCCTCCACCTCCTCCTCTCCCCACACACAGCTTGTGTGTGGCTTTAGCAGAAATAGGAATCTTACCAAAGTCCTGCAACCCATTGTTTCTTTATTTTAAATACAAGGTTCTTTTATTAACTCCAGCTGGTGCACCTCAGTGTGCTCACTGTGTTTGCTTTATTAAAATTGAACAGCGTGCAAGTAGGACATTGTAAATCACAAGCGACTGGGCCAGGGGAAGAGGGAGGGAGAGGTAGGGACTCCAACTGTATGACAACAAAGAGAGCATATAAACAGGCTGGGCCTCCTGGCTAATAGAAGCCAAAACTCATGGAGTGCAATTTGCAATTGCTCCCAGGAGGACAGACAAGTGCCAGACGGTTAGCAAGGATAGATGAGAGTGAATACTTGAATACCTCAATGTGTTCTCCTGTATCCTGGAACAGAGCTTCTCTAGAGGTCTGGGCATACAGTAGGAGCTGCCTGCCTCTGCTGTAATCCTTGGGTTTATCTTATATCAGTGCCTGGCAGTGGTCATCTTGTCTGTGGTGGAAGCCTTGTTAGACCATCCAAGTCTTGAAGAGAGCATTTAAACCAAGGCAACCAGTACCACTGGGTCCCTCGTGGAGAGGGAGGCGGAAGCTGCTAGTCCATAATTGAGGTATACGTTTTCCAGCTTTGCCTCTTTGTGGCTGATGGAGGGAATTGCATCTCTGCCTGCTTGAACCCTGTGGGCATCCACAGGGACAGTCAGTGTAGGTTTACTGAGGGCAAGTCCAGATAGAAAGACAACAGCTTCCTTCCCTGTGCCTGGACAGTTCCTCTGCTCACGGCACTCCCTGAAGCTGCAAAATCATCATGGACAAATGCAACAGCCATATGAAGGGTCCCTGGCTGTCATGATGCCCCTGTTGCTGACTCCTCAGCACCATAGTGAGCTTCCAGTCTGCTGCACACTTCGGCTGTAGCAGTAAATTTTGTGGTGTATGTGTGTATGTGATTTTGAAGCTGCTCTGCTTGGACTGTGTCTCAGTGCCTTCTCTCCTCCAGTGCTCCTCAACCTGTGGGAAGGGCCTTCAGTCACGCGTGGTCCAGTGTATGCACAAAGTCACCGGGCGCCACGGCAATGAGTGCCCGGTCCTGTCCAAGCCAGCAGCCTACAGGCAGTGCCACCAAGAGGTCTGCAATGAGAAGATAAACGTCAACACAATTACCTCGCCCAGACTTGGTGAGTGAGGGGTGTTGGGGGAGGATGCCACCTGCGAAGGATCAGACAAAGCCCAGGGTTCCAGTGTGCCCAGTCTGATAAAAGTGGGGCTTCAGAGGATTGCCCAAGGCCAGAAATTAGGAGAGGGCCCCCCAGTCAGACTTTAGACTAAAGGTCTAGTGTGGATAAGGTCCTCTTTTATCCATCAATCCCTGCCTCAGACTTTGCCCAAGCTGGAGTGCTCAGCAGTGGATAGACCTGGGAGACCAACAGGAGCACACAAATGGTGAGTGGGTGATTGATTGATTGATCAATCGATCACAGAGGTGAGGGAGCTGACAGGCATATCTTTCTCTGTCACAAACACCTTCACACCCTGCTTTCACTGTGGTGCATATAAAGTATCATGATTTATTCATCCATGCCCCAAGAAAAGTACATGACCTTGACAAATAGAGCATCACTGTTTTTTCTTTCCTTTTCACTGGCTGCCACAAGAATGTGGTTTGATGAATTAATTCGCCCAGGGAGGCGAGAGAGCATCCAGCCTCTTTCTGTGAACCCTTTGATTTTCTGTCACTGTTCTTCTCCTTCACCCTCCCTGCATCCCCTGTGTACCTGGCTGAGATGAGAATATGGTGATAAGCCATCTATTGACCAAAACACCCTAACACTGTATTGAATAAATGGCTCCAGTTAAGAATGCTTCTGTTAATACAAAATTGTGGGAATCCATGACTTTCCACATCATATTTCCTCAGTTTATAAGGGGATAAAAATATGTTTTTCCAAACTTCAGCCTTGTATGTTCAGCCACAGCTCCAAGAACCAAGCTAGTTTCTTTACATTTCACACTTCATCACCAGTAAGATGAAGCTAAACTAAGCCATCAGCTACACTGACACAGCCTCATCGGTGCCTCCCATTACTTTTCAGTACAAGAGACTGGGTTGTAAACAATGCTGCTAAGAGCTTAGCAGAAAGCACAGCCTCCACCCTCTCAACAGAGCCAGTCTTGTAGGCTATGAAGCCTCTAATACACATGAAAAGGCAGATCCTAAGTAATAGAGAACCATTTTCTAATAGCACTGTTCAATATTAAATAACACTTAAACTAGGACTGGACTTGAAGCTTCTGAACTGAAGTTTGTTTCCCAAAAGCTTAACAGATGTTTAAAAAAATATGGGAAATTTTATTCTTGCAAATACAGTCATACAGAGGAGCTAAAACTCTTGTTTAAGAACATATGAGAGTACTTCCCAGATATTTTAGCACTAAGAGCATAGTGAAAGGAAAACATTTCATTTGAGAAGTAAGCCCTTGATACACTGATGAGACAAGAAATCCATCCTAATTCACATTTTAGGACAAAGCAATAAAAAGCTCACGTGTTTAGAAGACTGAGGAGGCTCAAGTCCCTGCTGAAAGTAATCTGCAAGTAATTTGGGATGCTTTTGTTTCTAAACTGGGCTTGGAATCACCAGGGCCAGAAACAATGATATTTGATATTAGCAGAAAGATATATCATTGAGTGTGTTGCTCTTCCTGCTTATAAACAAATTCTCATTGGGTTATCCTTAAACAAAATTTTCTGGTTTCTGCAATGGAAACATCACCAAAAAAAATCACACAGAAAAAAAATCCAGTAGTCTACAAAACCCATTCTGCCTTGTCCCCACTCCAGAATGTCCCATTTTTCGTCCCAGGTAACATTTTCAGAAGTATGTAAGTGTGGGGTTCATCTCCCCTGACTCTTACATCTGTGTCCAGTGTCCCTCAGTGAAGACACATTCAGAGGGGGTTTGTTCTGTCCCTCAGGCGCCTCGCCCATGTTGCTTCCTCCACATGCTTCCTGTCTTACTTCACAACCTATGAGGAACCTTGGACCTCTCAAATATTAGAGTCCTAGCCATGTTTGTGGCTCAGTGTCTTTCTATTCTATAAAGTTTCTCATCTCAGGTCTATCTCAGTTGTTATTCAACTGCACCACATTTTTGGAACACTGTGCCTGGTTGGAACCTTAGCTAGTGGGCAGTGCTGCAGGTCTAACCCCCTCAAAAACCCCACTGCTGGCAGACTCAGAAATAGCTCTACTTTCCCCCTTTTAGGATGGTCACTTCAACTCAATTTTTTTTCCTTACAATCATTTTTTTTTCAAATTGGCTTCACGTTCCTTTTTTTTCTGGAACAGTGCAACTTCATTTCATCAGATGCTATCAAACTTTTGCTTCTTGTCCAACTGAGTGAAGCTTCAGTGATAAGCATTCCTACCAGTTTTGCTGCCATCGTTTTCTGGTGCTTGGTACACAGCTAAATACAGGATAAGAGCTTTGCCTGGTTTCATCTAGCAGAGATGAGGAACATGGGACTCAAGATGCTGCTGGGTCAGCACCTTTTGATATTCTTTAATTAGACCATTTTTTCCCAATCTCAGAGGCCACAATATTGAATTAAAATATTTTCCTATTGTCACAGCGTTTGTAAGAATGCTACATACAATTTATAAATGACATACTATAAAAAGCACTCACTATGTGTGTCCATTTTTATCATTTGCAGTTTTTCTACCATTACTTTTTTATAAAAGCACATGTGACCCTTTAATGATACTGTCAGCAGATTCAGCAACAGGGTCTTCATGCCACTTTCTCCCCTGCACAAAACTTTGTCAGTCTGAGAGAGTTTCTGCCATCCAGCTCCCCCCTCCCAATAGCTAATTGTTGTCCTACTGTTTTTGCTACACGAAGAAGTATTATTTTCAATAACCCATCAAACTGGGTTTCATTTTGTTCCTCTGTAAAAACATTTTCCACTGAGAGGATGATGGCCACTCCTGGAAGCGTGCCTTAGCGAAGCACTCTTCCTGGGAGCACAAAGCTTCCCATTGGCTGCTGTGACATCTTCATGTGCTTAAATCTAGGCCAATGCTTTAGACATTTTATTCATCTAGAGCTATTTGTTACTGAGACAAAATAGGTACAACATGAGGAGGCTTGCTCTCCCCAGTCATGTCCAGCTACACCCTTGCAGCAAGCACTTCCAAGAGCCTGATGCTTCGGTAGAAAGAACATCATCTGATCTCCAGTGCTGACAGCAAGATTGGCCCTTTCTTCCCTCATATGCAGTGATTTTGACCACACCTGCCATGCTGTTCTGTGGCTAATCTGCTAGTTTCTCCTTTCTTTTCTTGTCCAAAGCTGCTCTCACGTACAAGTGCACAGGCGACCAGTGGACAGTGTACTGCAGGGTGATCCGGGAGAAGAATCTGTGCCAAGACATGCGGTGGTATCAGCGCTGTTGCCAGACTTGCAGAGACTTTTATGCAAACAAGATGCAGCAGAAGAGTTAATGAACCTGTGCTACTTCTTAGGGTATTACAGCTATTTGTATGTAAATCACGGACTAGTAGGTCTGAGTACTGGAACTTCATGAGTTGCTACAATGTGGTGGATTCCAAAGCATACCTAAGACTTGAAACTAATTCTACAGACTGGATACCAAAGTAATCCACTCATCCACCTTAAAAAAAAAAACAAACAGAAAGAGTCATCTCAAGGAGCCAATCATTTTATCGTATTGTGACATCCTTACGTTTTTCATTAATGCTTTTTACTTTAATATATTAAATCACCAGCCACTGGATGGCTTGCTACCATTAAAGAAAAGGACAAGAGTTGCAAAGTGATTACATTGACTAAGGTTATGGGTACCTCCATGGAGGAAGGCCTCTGGCAAAATAATTCAGCAAAGGTACAGACATTACTTAATCTTTTAATCTTGGCTTTCATCTGACGTTTTAAATTCTCAGCAGTTATCCCACTGTGGACTAGGCTTGGAGGGACACACATAAATGAAAGGCTTAATTTAAAGAGAGGATTTGCTGTAAAAGCTTGTGAAAACTGATAGCAGAGGATGGTCATCTCTGAAATTCCTGCAGAAAATTCAGTACAATTATATCCAACATTCCAAGGCACATTTTTTAAAGCAACTAATAGGGACTGCTCTTTCTAAAAAAAAAAAAAAAAAAAAATCCTCTCTCTCTTTACTCCAGAATAATATAGTTTCTTTTATGAAAGCTAATATTTCTCTGAGCTTAATGAAATGGAAGCTTATTAACATCAGTAGATAATTATTTTTAAGGAAGAACCATTTAAATGACATGGGAGAAGCCAGAAATCATTTCATCCAGTAAAGCTCACTGAGGGATTGCTTGGCCTAATCTCTCTCCAGATTTTAGAAGTCAATAAGATAATGAGACTGAATGTTTTTTTTTAAGAGGACCATGAAACTGGATAGGGTTGGTACAGAAACAGGATTTGGAACAACCTTTGTGTGAAGGATGGAGTGGAGAGCAGAAGAGGTGTTTCCTATCCTTCGGCTCTTGTATACATCTGAGGTTATGCAGCCTTTTAAGTCAAAAGTAGTCAGGGATAAAAGACATTCAAAGTGTAATCTTGAGCTTGTTGAAGCCGTAAGGCTAAGACTTCTGTTGCCTTCAGTAAGGGTTAAGATTTTACTCACTGTAAAATGCTTCCTGTCTTACTTCTGTGGTGCTGTCAGGTTTGGGGCTGTCAGCTTGGTGCTATCAGAGCACTTCACATGTGCTGCATATAGGATACTCTCTTCCATGTCTCTGCACTTTAAACCAAACCTCTCTCTGAGATGTGAGACTTGAAACAGGAGCTCTGCCCAGGGCAGTGTTTGTCCCCTCCGTTAGTCCTACAAATGTCTCTCTACCATATCTTGCTCCAACACGTATCATTTCCCTTGCCAGGGTCCAAGGTCAGTTGTGCAGTGGTTAAGTTACAGCCCACTCTTCGTGACACAGAGCCGTTTGGATGAATTGCAGCTTTGTACTCGCTCTAGAACTGCGTGTTACTGCGTTACTCTTTGGAGATGAGAGCAGAACTAAGCCCAGCTACTACCCCCAGCCCCTGGGCCAGTCTGGGTTGCAGCTCACACCTGTCCTCAAGTTGTCTTTGTTGCTGTTGTCTCTTTTTTCCAATGCAAGGAGGGATAAATACTCTTAGTACCTAACATATATTTAAAGCAACTTTTTCTTCCTTATTACAATCCTTTCAATATCCAAGACCTCACTGGAATAACTCATTAGCATGTTATTAAGGGCTAAGTTTTTCAAGCACAGGGAGCTAATGTTCATCTATAGACTAATACTGTGTGGGCTTCACGTTCGCATCTGTGCTTAGTGCAAATGAGCGTGTGTGCACACAAGGGCTGGCCTGTATGCACAAAGGCACATTTGCACACAATTTTTTCTGAAGTGCCTGTCTCAAACAGATCTGCTTTCCAATGCCCCAGATGATTTTCTCTATCAGGGAAATGATTCCGACTTTTTATTATACTGGATGTTCTTTTGGCATCTTATAGTCAGGATCAGACCTTCTTCTCCTCTTATTCCCACCCTGTAGCCCAAATGCAGAGGTTGTGTAACTACCTAGCAAGTCATCAATGTAAAATATTGCTGGCAGGAGTGACAGGGAAGATTTAGGCAATACCACGGTGATGTTCAGTTAGGCAAATTAATAAGTAGATGAAGTGCTAATGAGAAATCAGACAGAGCCCAGAGGACCTGATTTATATTGGTAACTCACAGTGGTAATTTCCCCCCTTGCCTCTGTCACACCCTGCAGTAACACAGCCCTTGCTGCCCTGTCCTTGCTGCCTCCCTACCACCACAGCCACCTCACAGCAGTTTGGCTGAGATGGGTCCCCTTACATCCTTCACTCGCTTTGGAGTTTGCTGTTTTTCTTTTAATGGGCAACATTTGCCCATGAAGTGGCCTGGCCCGATGAAATGCCACCCCCTTGCTGATCATTTTTGGCATTGCTAATACTCACGTTGGGCTGTTGAAGGATTTGCCACTGGGCTTCTCTATTATCTTGGAAGAATAGTGTGTGCATTTATCAATGGGAATCAAAGGTGCTTTTAAATAGCAGGGACTATTTTTCCTTCCGGTGCTGATCTGTCACCCTCTCTAGGCAAAATGTGGCCTCCTAGAAAGGCGCATAGGAAAGGAAGGATTTTAATTCTTATGTTTTTCACTAATAATTCACTACTGGCCACTGGCCAGAACAGGATACTAGCCTGGTTAGACCCGTGTCCTGTTCCAGTATGCTAGGTCCTGCCTAAGGAAACATGGATTTACAAGGAATTCTTTGAATGTCTGAGCACTGAAAAAACCACCTCACTTGCTCTCACAGCCCACAGATTAGCATGCATCTACCTTTTTTTTTTTAATAATCAGAAACCAACATTAATTAAAAACTGATGGCACAACACAGCTCTACTTTATCCTCTTACTTCATATGGTGACAACCTTCCCATTTTATAATAGCCAGAAAAATAATAACAATAAAGAAGTTTAATTCTGCTCAATACTCCTGCACTTCTGTTTTGTATCATTTTGTAGGAGCTTTACTATGAATTTACAGCTATGCTCTGCCCTCAGTTACTCCATACTGGTGAAAAGAAAGCTGTTTGTTTCCGTGTATCTATGACAATACTTTTTTTAGTTGTTCGTAAGAGATTGACGCTCTTTTGATTACAGTGGTGGTATTTCCATATTGTAAACAATACTCTGTACTGTTACTAAAGTACTGTACATTTCTAGTTGCACAATTGTGTTATTGAGTGTAGATTCTCACTATCTCATGTATGGTGCTATTTTTGTTGGTGGAAAAGAATCTTAGCAGTTGATTATTGCTTGATATTTTATTATAATACAGGGATATATTCTCCATGGCAATAATATCATTTAAGTTTTTCATTACAGAGTGAAATGTATATATTTTTCCATTAGCTAATTTGCATATGTACTGTATCCATGGTAATTTTCTTTTTGGTGCTGGTTATAAATAGAAAAGATAAAAACAGTCAAACTGAATGGAACCAGTTGTAAATGAAAACCAAAAACAAAAGGCAAGAGGATCATTCCATTTTGAAAAAAATGAGTATGTTGAATAATAAATTTATTTTTTCCATAACAACTTTAATAAGGTTTCTGAACTTGAAAAAAAAAAAAGCAAACTAAATAGCTAGCGTGAAAATTAAGAGAAAGGAGTGAAGCTCTATGTAGTACATTGTGCGTCTGTCTCATACTGGACTGAGACTGGGATTCAGTTAAGTCTAGGCCAACTGTTTGATAGCTGTGGTAGGTGTAAAAGGTCATTTGTCATTAAAATTCTGGCATCTCAGAGTTCCCAGTGTGCTAACAAATCAAGAAACGATGGGTCTTGTCCCGGTCAGGTTGCAAAATAAAGCACAGGGAATGTTAATACCTGATTAATGCCTTGCAAGGTCTGTGGTCAGTGACACAACAGTAGAAAATGCCTGTCTGGAAAATGGGAGCCAGGCTCCGTTTGGGGTATTGCTGTGTATGCCTGAGCAGGCTGCGGAGAAGCTAAAGCTTATGCATGAGGGGAAGGACATTTTGCAAGTGCTTTTAAGAAAGGTTGCTCTCAATGTATGTTGGAGCTGAGATGAAGTGGCAGCTTGCTGTATGTTTAATGGTAGCTGCTCCACAGGCGCAACCTGGTAATGAAGGCTGCTGAGCATGTGGAAATTTATACTGGAGCAAAATTATCCCATCCATTGGAAAGGTATCTACATAACCTAGCCGCACACTTCCCTGGTGTGAAATAAACAGAGTTACTTCAGAGCCAAGTGTTTTGGATGTCTTTGTTGTAGGCACAAGCCAGAATCTTTGTACTATTTAATTCCCCTCTCAGCATGGTGAAGATGTTTTTTCAGCCAGCTGCACACGGATATGCCTGTAGGATCCTCTCCCATCCTGTCTGACAAAGATGCCATCATCCATATCCCATTCCAGCTCAGTTCTTGTAAAAAGGACACTTCCTGGAGATGGGAGCAGCACCTTTCTAAAGCAGCCTTAAAAACAAACCATAGTACGCTTGGTGTGAGAGTCCTCCTTCCGAAATGATTTCCAGAAATTGAGTTTATACTCGTATTAAAAATAGAGCTCATTTACTGATCTCACGCTGGCTTCTTGGTAATGGCACAACATTGATAGGCTTCCTAGTTTTCAGAGGTAGCCTTAGGAGATACCAGCCTAGCTGCCATCATACATATGATTGTTAACAGCAGCAAAGTTGTAGAAACTCCATCCAAGTGTTGCTGTATATTAACACATCATCGTGTTTGTGTATTGCCTGGAGTCAACATATGATTGCAATTGTTGACCTGTTTAAGCAATAAAACATAGCTATGAGCCTTTGGAAGCCAACAGGCTTTACATTAAGCTGGGATATGGCAATGGGTGGGAGGGGTGTAAGGAATGCTGTCATACATTTGGCTTGAAATTTTCCTGGTATGTGCCAATATATCTTCTATAAATCCAGTAGGCTTATATACAATTTGCCTATTTTGCCTGTAGCAGTTTGCTGTTTTTCTCCTATTCCTAATCCCCATCTTCTAACCAAGAAACCAGATGATTTGAAGCCATTGTCCTTCCCTGTTGTCTTTTTATTTAACACACCTCAGCCAAGTTCATTCTTGCAGGTGGGGTCAGGTGGTTCTGGTGCTCTGGTGTAAAAGTACCAGGAGGAAAGTATAATCTCTCCTCAACTGCTTGGAGTTCAGTTCTGCCTCTGCCAACTCCACCTGCTTCCGTCAC